CGGTGGTGGCATAAACTGTGATGACGACGCACCTGTCGGTCGATATGCATCAAAAATAGCCTCCTGAACGGCTAACCTCAACTGCTCCCTATTTATTTGAAAAAGTAGGTCAACGGTCCCCCTCGCTTGTCCCTCTCTTGGTGGGACCAAATCACGCAACAAGATATCTTCCTCAACTTGCTCCTGATCCCTTTCCACGGGATTGGAGCTAGAACTTTCCCCGGGATCCCTTCGTGTTGGCATGACGCTATAAGAAAAAGGAAACGGATCAATAACGATGACACTAAAATACGCACGAGAACGGAATCCTCACATGAATGACTTGACAAATATGGAAACACATAAACACCTTCCTTGCTCTCAAAATACCCAACTAATGAGAAACATGATCATGCTAATAATATACAACAACATTAAGCACTTAGCCCGTAATCACATAAGCAATTAAACAATTAAGCATGCTTTTCAAATAATTAAGCACCTTAACACATAGGCATATAAACATGCAATCACGTAAGTAATTAAACAAGTAAGCAAATAACCCAACTCCCCATGCAATCCTAGGTAGGCCTCTACCCGTCGTCCTAATGGTATTCGAACCATCGTTCTGATACCAAATTTGTAACGACCCGAAAAGATACCAAAATAATAATAAAAATTTATAAAAATTTTGGCATGACCTCCGCAGAAAATGTCCCTCAACAACCTATCAAAATACAAAAATAAATGCAATGGCCTCACTGGGTCTTAAATCTAACTTATCCTGTCCCAACGCACAATTCAGACGTTATACTACATTCCCAAAATGGTTACATACATACAAAAGTCCCGTTCATCCATCTCATCCAAACATGGAACCCACTTAAGTTACATCAAATTACAGTCCATAAAATGTAGCTAGAATTAAAAGTCTATAGTTTACAACATTATACTAATTAAACTAAAGTGTCACAAGGTAGTTAATATTACATTTACAAAATATTAGAGTCTAATATAAAAGTTAACAAAATAGAGTGGGTCTTCAAGCTCATCTAAACCTGTGGTGGATCGTCGTCCGTCACCTCTTTTCCATGTCCTGAAAGATGTTAAAAATAATGGGGTGAGCATAAGCTCAGTAGGAAGTGTCTAAGACACACTTCTTATGACCCCGTGAATTCACATAAGGAAGAGGTAAAAAGAAATGGGGTCATACCATGAGGAATACATATTCTCAACCACAACAATAAATATGTAGCAAATGTCAACCAACCACCGTTTTACTAAAATGCCATGAAGTGCAATGTTATGCATATGTCGCTCCCCATTTCCGAAACAATTCCGTTTCAACAAACAAACTGTTAGTGTAATCCGACCCAAGGCACCTCCAAGGCATCACGAATGGAGGATTGGCTAACTATCCACGACCAGAAGGCACCTCCAAGGCGTTGCATCTAACCTAGTTAACTCAACCATACTCCATTCTAGACTACACTAACAACACGGACCACTAGGCGTCTCCTAGACGTTCGGTTTTCGCAAACTCCTTAATATATATATATATATTTTTTCCCAAGAACAATTCATTTATTTTAAAACATTTTTCCCCTTATTTCTTCCCCAATGGATGCATGAATGCTCCATGCTTCATTTCATCAATTCCACAATAATGCTCCCACATACTTGTTCAAATAAATTAATAAATTACTAAAAGTACACAATTTATTTTCTCATCCCACGTTTTGATAGCAATTTAAATATACAATTCACAAATTTATTTCCATAATTATACCATAAATTTTTTTATAGCAATTGAGATCATGAAAACAAGTCAACACTAAGCATACTTCTTTACAAGTTAAAAATTATCATACTAATAAGCCATTTAACACACAACGCACATTTGTCACCATCAACCTAAATAACCCTAACAAATATAATCACAAAAAATTAAAATTAAGCATGGTTAAAGTCAATTTAAAGGGAAAATTCACAAGAAATCCAAGAATTAGTGGATTAGAGCACCCCTAGCTCAAATTGATGAAAACCCCCAATTTGATCCCAAGAATCCTAGAATTTCGAACTCCCTAGAGAGCACTAAAGTTGAAATTGCTGGTACCCACGCGTAAATCTCGCCGTGCTTTCCGACTTTGCTTCACAAGGTTCTACCAAATTCCAATTGAGTGAAGCTAGATCAAGTCTTGAACTTGTAAAAAAAAAAAAAAAAAACTGCCGAGGTGAGAATGATGCAACACACAGAGAGAGAAGCTAATGATCTGCGAAATGGCCTTATGGCCTTTTGTTATGCTTTTAACTTATTGGTGGGGCCCACTTGCTTTTTGAAATAAGAGAATTATTTTATAACTTTAATATATATGTACATATACAAAAAGAAAAGGCATTGTGGTTATTTAATGAAAAATAATGTGGGCATTGGAGCATTTGTAACCGAATGTGATAATTGAAGGAAGTATTATGCACAAAATATAGTTGAATGAAGGTTTTTTTGTACTTTACCTTATCCTTTATTAAATTTAGTTAATGTAAAATTCAATAAAAGGTAATTTTGATATTTATTAAATTTAATCAGTCATGTGATAAACATATGTTTTATTAACTGTAACAGCTAAAAACTCTTTTTTATAATATTTTTAAAGTTTTGAAGGAGTTATATACCCAAAATAATAAAGGAGTATTATTTACTTAAAACATAAATATTAAGAGTGTTTTAAATACTTAGCCCTGTATATATTGAGGATTGTTAAAGACATTTGGGACATTTTTATAACCATTGATTAAAGTACTCACAAGAAACCACTATTATTGAAGGCCTGAAATGCAAACGTCAGAGCATTGATTTGTGTACTACTCGTACATAAGAGTAGGATAACCATTAATGAATTTAATGGGGGTGATGGTTGCGATTTAAGTAACACAATTATTTTTATTAATGTCGCTCTTAGGTTTTGAGTAAGTTTTTGTTCTCACATTGTGCGTATGTATTTATTTAATTTTTTATTATTTATGACATAATTTTGTCACTCGCGCTCTCGCTCTTGAATTCGTTATTCCTGTTTTATGTGACTTAAGTTGCACTTGGGTTAAATGTCACACTTAATCTATATATTGTACTAAAATTGCTCAACTGTTGTGATAATAATGTATAAAGTGATAATAGATTTTTTATTTTTCTTTGGTTAATGGTATCTTGTCACGAAATAAAAAAATTTATATTCCAAACCACACATTCATCGTGTAATCAAATATATATATCTATATATATATATATATATTTGGTTTAATTAAGTGAACATGTATAATAAAATTATAATTGAAGAACTCTCGAGAATATATTTTCATCTTAAAAAAACAAAAATCATTTCAATGATTGTCTCAACCACTTAGAAGAAAGAAACTATATACTTTATACAACAGTGTGACTACTTCCATGACCATCACTATGATTTCGTCTGATGCAGAACTGGCATGCATGGGAATATAAATGATTTATAGCAATGGTCTCAACAACCCATTACATAATAGTATCATGGTCATTTGGGCATGATATATATATATATATATTCGACCCAGGGAGAAAAATTGCAGAATAAATATATGTGAGCCATCCGTTTATAATTTTTTCAATCCTGTCTAATGAAATAATTATGTTGTTTTTTAAAAAATTGTAAAATTAATAGGTAATGTGTAATTGTCAAATTTTTAATGTGATTAGGACTGAAAACAAATATGGTTCTGATATTATAATTTGTGTCTTACAGATCTGATAATTTGATTGATGCGTGGGCTCATTCTGATCAAAGAAAGAGGGACAAATTCATAATTAATTTAGGAATCAAGTTGACTTATTTTGCCTAGCTAATTTGTGCTCTGCTTCTAAAATTATTCTTAACATTGTACACGTGGTCAATCTACTAAAAGTCGATTTGTGATTGCTTTTCTATTATTTAAAAATGTTTTTATTTTAAAAAATTGCGTTTAAATATATTTGATAACTATTATAAAGGTTTTGAATGGTTATCAGATTTAATTCAGGAGAACATTTGAATTAGGATAGAATTTGAAACTTTTAAAATTGCGTGATAATTTCAGCCCTTCCTTTATAAAGTTGCTATTATAAGATATGGTAACATCATATTAAAGAATATTATTATAAAATTAGCAATAGAATTGTTTTAAAAAATTTGTTACCAAATAAATTAAAAAATAATATAATTGTGAAAAGTATTCATTATATTGTGTCACCAAACACCTAATATGCATATTACTGACATTAATTTTTCGACAGCTCTAGCTACTGATAAAAGTTATTTTATTCCAACAGCAATCTCAAACGGGCTCTTAGAATTGATCAATTGAGTATATATATATATAGAGGCAAGAAAGGAAATGGGAGAGGGAAGTTGCAAGGGTCGAAAAGCAGACTTTCAAATACGGGAAACAACTCAACCACTTAAGCAACATAACATTTGAATGTTAGAATTGAGTATTAAGAGTGGAAAATTGAGCTCGTTTGATAAGGATTAGAAGCATTTTAAAGTATATAAGAAGAAAATAAAAATTCTGTTATTTATTTATCTTTCTGTTATTTTTTTTGGGAAAAAAAAGAAAGAAAAAAAGTTAACCAATTGAGAAAGTATGTACAAGTGGGCCAAGAATAGGCCGAGCAGGCATTTGAGCCCAACTAGAGTAATATAGGATAGATAAAAAAAGAAAAGTCCATCAAGAATAAGTCAAGTGAGGCCCAAAATGGAGTTGCCCATTTGGCCTTACAAACATCAGATGAAGAAGTGTTTTCAACAGAGGTTACGTGGAATGCGAAGAGAAGATCATGCATGAAGCGCCCATGCACCGTAACCGACATTTACCACGTAGCACCAGGTGTCATCATCGGAATTTTAGGTATACCCATCTGGCTTCCACGTGTCACTGTTATGGTTCTACTTAAAGCTTTAGTCACAGTCCCTTTGTTTTGTACCCAAACAAGAAAAACAGTGTGTGTGAAAATGACAGACGCAAGGGAAGAGTTGAGGAGGGGTGCCATGGTTTGCAACGACAGGTGTGGCTGCCCTTCGCCCTGCCCCGGCGGTATCGCTTGCAGGTCAATTCTTATACTATATATATATATATATATATATATATATGTATGTATGGAAAATTACAGAAAAGTGTGCTTTTGGAAGCCTTTTTACCTAGGCATGGAGTGGATGGAAGTCCACATTTCGGTAATTTTTCCAATATATTATTATCTTCAGTGTGAGAGAAGTTCATTTTGTTGTTAAAAATGAAAAATGGGAATGGACGGATGGATGTGCAGGTGCACGAATAGTGGGGTGTCAAGTGGGGGCGCGGGGGTGGAGCACAAGCGATGCTCGTGTGGTGATCACTGTGGCTGCAACCCCTGCACCTGCACCAAGACGGAGATGACGGGTACGGGTAAGGTCTTGTGCAAGTGTGGAGATGGATGCACCTGCGTCACGTGTGCCTCCTAAATACATATGTTTGTGCTAGCTAGTGTCACGAGTTATGATCGAAATAAATGGTACTGCATGCTTAATTAGGGCCAACTTTTCCTAGTTGTGTCTTGATTTTCTGTCTCTAATGTTTATATATATGTATTATGTAATACAAATATTGTGTCGTCTCTACGGATGTTTAATTACCAAGTTTTCTGTGCGTGTTTTGCCTCGTCTCCACATCTTGTATAACGAAGTAGCTGGTTGATGTGTCTAATTGTGGACTCCCCACTGTCAATTGTGAACATCATACATCTTTAGTTTGTAATGGAGATCGAGATATTCAGGCGTTATACTTCGAAAGTTGTTTTCAGTTACAAATCATCAAACATGTCTTGTGGTGTTATTCTTTTTCTCCCTAAACGATAATTAAATAAATAGTTAATATTGAAATGACCTATTCAACAAGTCTTATCCTTTAGGGGTGGCAAACCAATGGGTTTTATACAAATCCTATTTCGTGGAACAAAAAGCTTTTCTTAGAACAAAAAGTAAAAGCTTTTCAAAATTCTAAGAGTTCCTAATTTGGTACTTCTCAAATTGACAACAAAAAGTAAAAGTTTTTGCTTTTAAAAATTCTAACTTTGGAAGCTAATGTTGGTAAGTTCTCTCTATTATATTTGAGGAGAACCAAATAGTTCGCAACCGACGGGTTCTATACAAATCCTATTTCTTCCTAAGAGTTCCTAATTTGGTGCTTCTCAAATTGAGAACAAAAAGTAAAAGCTTTTCAAAATTTAATTTGGTGCTTTTCAAATTGAGAACAAAAAGTAAAAGCTTTTCGAAATTCTTAGTTTGGAAGCTAATATTGGTAAGTTTTGTCTATTATATTTGGAGACAACCCAATATAGTGCCGTTAAAGACACTAAATGCGATTATCAAATGGGTAAGGCCCAAGTTTTCGATGAAGAGGAACTTGCAAAGGATTGGAATTTGTGGAGCTCATTCCCACGATCATAGTTGACATCCCAATTGCAACACCATACCCATAGCCAAACCATCACCCAGCGTTGATGAATTCCCGCCTATGGATTGGGTTTGAGAAATTTCTGGCATTCACGTTGGGCCAACAATTTGGACAATGTAAATTTGATATCTTTGTTTTGTTTTTGGGTTTTGCTTTCTATTTTTCGGTTTATATTTTTTCGAGCATGTGAAAACTTCTCTTTTTATGCATACTTATTTATCTTTAAAAAAAAAAAAAACTTGCATTAAGATGAATTATTTGTTATTGAATTCATATTCAAATTTTGTTGGTTATTGAATATTTCATACGATAAATTGAAAAAGTATATATTTTTTTGGTTAAAAATTTTAAAAACTGAGAGAATGTCAAAAAGAGAAAAAGAAATTATATATTTTTATTTCTAAAAAAAAAACAATGAAGAGTGAAAAATGAAAAAAGCTAGTAGTAGGATGAAAAGAATTAAAAAATGAAGAAAAACTTATATTCTTAAGAGTTCAAAAACCTATATTCTTATAATTATATACATGGTACTTCCTCCTTTACATATTAAAAAGTCCACTTAAAAGTGGACTTTTAAAATGGGACGGTAAAATATTATGCAAATAATATTATTTAATGATTATATATCTTTTTTGGTTGGATTGAATTATTATGTGATGATTACCAGATTTGAATCATTAACCTTATCCAATTCATTGACACGCATATTTACAATGACAAAAGAATAATTTGAGAAAATTTATTTTTTTGTCAACTTGAAGTCATAATTTTTTTTTTTTTTTTTTTTTAAATTTATGAGTGATGCTATTTAAGAGAAAGTTTGCTCAGGTATATTAATGAGCTCTCTTCTTTCTAGTTTTGTTATTTAACTCGACAAATAAAAACTTACTACTTCACTGAATCTATATGGCTATTCTTCTTACTAGTTTTGTTATTTGACCCGACAAATAAAAACTTACTACTTCATTAAATCTATATGGCTAATCATGTGTCAGATATAATGAGGCATATTTTAAAATATAAGATAATTGACTATTTAAAAAGTTGTAATTTTTTTTCTAAGTTTATCTTAATCTAGTATTTTCGTTCGCTATTAAAATTTCAACCACATCTATATCTATATTTATTTTATATTTCAAATTGCATCCCTGAAAAGACCATTAAGATACTTAGATTGTGTTTTTGATCATTAATATCCATTTATTATTTTGATATGCAATTGTTAATTGGTATAATGATTAAAGTTAATTATCTATATAACTCCCATGAACAAAGAGAAGAAGAGAAATTTTAAAAAAAATAAATACATAAAATTGCAAAAGCATGAAAAAATTATAAAACATTATTAGTTTTTGCTGAAAAAGAAAAAGAAGATTTAAGTTGAAATTTTGAAAAATTGCGTCATATTTTTATTTGTGTTAGTTTTAAGTTGGGATATTAAATTCCTTAAAAATATAATTTTCTCTCTTTTTACTGTTGTTAGATTAGTGAATTTTAGAGATGGTGCAATGAAGATAGCGGACCTAAAGGAGAAAATAAAATTTCCTTACTCTAAATAAAAAATAAAAATAAAAAGGAAACGTAAACTCAATATTTCTCTCTCTCCTCTCTGCGTCTCTTCATCTCATTGTGCGATTTTTCTTGTAGGATTTATAGTTTCAAAGCACCCAAAAACAAAAAGAATAAAAAAAATAGTATTAGAGATTAAATGTTTGAATAAAAATAAAAAATGTACAAGATCATTGAAAGAAAAGATTAAGAGAAAAATAATAAAACAAATATTTTCTTTTTTCGCACTGCAAGAAGGAAAAAGAATTGTGATTAGAGAGAATGTTTAATTTTAGGATTTATGAAAAATTTCATGATTTTGGAACTAAGAAGTGTCTAGCGGTTTAGAAAATTTTGAGGAGTTTTTCATTGATAATGGTATGGAAAGATATTTCATTGATGATGGTATGGAGAGAGATTTGCAAAGAGACAGGCTTTACAACTTACATGTGGGACTTGTCATACATATTATTTAGATGGAAAATGAAATGTGTATAAATGGATATGTACAACGTACTATTCAACAACTTGATACTTTTGATAAATAAATATGTGTCCACCCATTATAGTTAGTATCAAAGTAAGAGCCAGAGCTAGAGCTAGTCATTGATCTAGTGTCACGCCAAACACCCAACTAGAAGGCTTTCTAGTCTTTTTCTCGAGTAGGCAGGATGGCCAAATTACATCTAGAGCGTGTGCGGGTTCGGGTGGAAAGAATGTTACAAGTGGGACTTGTCCCACATCAAATTCAAATAAAAATTAAAATGTAAATTTTTAAATAAATAAATAAGCACTCATTGGTTACAATAGACTACTTATCACAAGTAAGATAGGGAGCACCCACATTGTTTTGGACTAAAAGTGTTAATTTAGTGGGGATATTTTTTCCAAATAAAATACTTCATAAATTGAGGAGATGTTACAATAGGCTACTTATCAAAAGTGAGATAGAGAGCACCCACATTGCTTTGGACTAAAAGTGTTAATTTAGTAGGAATATTTTTTCGAAATAAAATACTTCATAAATTGAGGAGATTATTGCACTCAAAAATATTTATATTCGGCTTCAAGAGGACAATTCCCTTTATTTATTGCAGATTTGCAGTAATGGAATTTATTTATTTATTTTATATACAACATTATTTGGCGAGTTAAAATAAATAAATCTTATTTGCTGACCCTAGAGAAAATTTGGTCAACTGGTTAAAAATCTTTGATACTGATGTGGTCTACGAAAATCTTGCCGAGGATGTTGTAGGAAAGAGTAACAGTTGAGGAAAGAATGTGTGACTGGTCACCAAAAACCCTAAAACCTCCATAAAAGGTAACGCTCCAAATGTGGTAAGAATTTATCTTACCAAAATTCTATTACCTTTCTTGGGTTGATTTTTGTAGAATAGTTTTGTTTTTTGTTTACTAGTAATTTTGGTAAGTGTATAATCTTTTATATATATTTATTTTTAATTCGTCTTAATTTTTCTTCATTGGGATTAGCTGCGCTTTTGCATCTTTGATCTCTCTGATTCATCAGGGTTGGCTTTATCTTGTTTAATATAATTATAATTTATTATGACAATGGGTTGCTTTTCTTGGATGTTTAGACTCAAATTCAAGAATGTAAAAAGGATTGGAGACAGGGGATCCAGTTCGTGCCATTCTGTGGTTTCCTCAGGTTTTGTTTATGTAACTTTTCCCCCTATTGCTCCGTTTCACTTTATTTTCTGTTTGGTTCCTAAGAAAATCAATAAATGTTATTCTTTAGACTTCACTGAGTCGGTTAATGTATTAGGGGTTAGTTAAAGGTTTTTTTATTAACATTGGAAGATCCTAATTTTATTTTCTTTTGAGTTTAAATTTCTTTTCAGCAACCAAACAGATTATTTTGTTATTTGTCCATGAGTGATGGAACATCCAGTGCAAAGTTCCATTGTTTTTAAACTTCTCTCTTATTACTATTTTTTTCTTGGGTGATTTTTAAATACTTGACATTGCAATGAAGTTGGAGGATGGTGATTCATTTTCCTCATGATGGTGTGTTTACTAGAATGTTTTCAATTTGCTTATTATAGGGCATGTGAGGAACAATACAGTCAAGGGTAAGGATAAGGATAGTGCAACACTATGCTTCACATTTCGGGAACTCGCATCCGCTGCTGGGAACTTTTCAGAGGCTCAGATTGTTGGGGAAGGGGGCTTTGGAAAGGTTTATAAAGGCCGGCTAAAATCAGGCCAGGCAAGTTGCTTGACTTAATATTTTCTTTTAATTATGTGTGTGTTTTTAAGATTGGTTTTGAGTTGAAAGTCGACACATGACGACCTGGTCTGTAATACAGAGAATTTACTTCTCCCCTTGTATGCCTTTAAGTTGTCCTTATACATGAAATTTCTACCTTTTAGGTTTTTAGTATTGGTGACTACTGACTAGTTCATCAATTTTTGTTACTACTGAGATTGTAACAAAACAACAACAACAACAACAACAATAATAACAATAATAATAAAGGTCCTTACTTATTTTGAACTTAGAGAAAAAGGATTCTCCGCTCAATTGTGCTCAATTGTGCCTGATAAGATTGGTTTTGTGTTGAAAGTCGACACATGACCCTGGTTTGTGATACAGAGAATTTGCTTCTCCCTTTGTAGGCCTTTAAGTTGTCCTTATCCATAAAATTACTACCTTTTAGGTTTTTAGTATTGGTGACTACTTACTAGTTCATCAATTTTTGTTCCTATTGAGATTGTAACAAAACAATACAAATGATAATGATAATGATAATAAAGGTCCTTACTTATTTTGAACTTAGAGAAAAAGGATTCTCCGCTCAATTGTGCTCAATTGTGCCTAATACTTGTATTGCTTGTCATTTAATGTAACTCTTAGAAAGTATTCCGTTCTTTCTGTTTGAACTCGATGAATAATTGATTTGTAGTAAAGGAGAAGATTTTTTGACATTGTTGATCAAGTTTGTTCTCTTTTTCACAAGACAACATCAGCAAACTTGGAAATAATCTAATACAGCTTAATGTTTGTAACAGTAAACTATTTCTCACAATTTTGTTTGATATTGACTTTATTGGCAGCTTGTCGCGATTAAATGTCTTAATCCCGACAGCCAGCAAGGAAGCCAAGAGTTCTTAGTTGAGGTACTTATGCTAAGCCTCTTGCAACATACTCATCTTGTCAACCTACTGGGCTATTGTGTTGATGGAGACCAACGGATCTTGGTGTATGAGTTCATGCTAAATGGAAGCTTGGATGACCATTTGTTTGGTAAGTTCTGTAGTGATAATATACATCAGTTAAACAAATTTTCAACAATTGATACAAAAGTCTCTTGCATGCATGTCTGATGTTCCTCTTTATAGCTCTTGATGGAAAGATACTTGTAATTTATGAATAAAATTGAAATACAGAAGAAGCTTCTTTTCCTTTTCCTGACCAATAGAGATATGAGAGAGAGAAAGAAACACCCAATAGCAAAAAATAAATAAACAAATGGGAAACAAACAGAGGAGGAAGAAAGAATAGAAAATTTTTATTTTCATGTTCTTTCTGGTGCTGTGGAAGAGAGAACAAAGCAAAGAAAACGGACTGAGAGTGGTGGGAGAGCTACTCCCTTAAGATAAGGGGGTCCTGAGATGCGCTGGTGCGGAACTGAAGAGAGTAACACCAGGTGACAATCAGTGTCCAGAGGATGCTGTTTGGATAGAAGCTCCTATCTTTAGGGGTATTAATGATTTCTTTGTGACATATTCTTAAGGCCCCTCTGGTGGTTGTAGAGCTTTCACAATGTTCGTGGTTGAAAAAGCTGCTGAAGAATGTGACAGCTAATGTTGATTGAATTACTTTCAATACTGTAATCTGTTCACTTGTCTTTTTAGCTCAATGAACCTGATTTCCAAGGCACAAGCTGAAAATCTTCTTTTGCTGTTCAAATTATGCAAGTAGAAACGTAGAAGGGGTTGTAGGTTTTAGATAAAGAGAGTTATAAGGTTTCAAGGTATGGACTTAAATTGTGCAAAGTTTACCATTCAACTATCTGGGACTTGGTACATGTCTGATTTGAAAATTTTACCATTCAATGGTGCAAATAAGTAAAATAAATAGCCATAAATTGGTAGGCATGGCTTTACGAGATACAAGAGACTAGCATAATAGTAACATGTTCAATCTATATTTTATCAGGCCCTTGCAATTTTCTCTAAGGCTTGGAAAATATTTTCTTCAGAAAATATTTTCCTTTTCTTTATTTTTACTTTTTTCAGTGTTTGGTAAAGGTTTAGGTCAAGGTCAATGGCGAGTCCATCGGGCTCTTAGTCTGGGTTATGAAGAAGGGTCTGTTTATGGTTGCAGTTACCTTTTTCCAGGACTACCACAATTAAAGTTTCAAACTGGAGTATTAATTTTGTAAGTTTCATTGTTGTTTCTGTTTCAGACGTGGATCCTGACAACAATCCACTTGATTGGAATACAAGGATGAAAATTGCAGTTGGTGCTGCTAAGGGCCTCAAATATCTTCATTGTGATGCAGATCCACCAGTTATTTATCGAGACCTAAAATCTGCAAACATATTGTTAGATAGTGACTTCCATCCTAAGCTTTCAGATTTCGGGCTTGCTAAATTTGGACCCTTAGGTGACAAAACTCATGTTTCTACTCGGGTGATGGGAACCCGTGGATACTGTGCACCAGAGTATGCCAAGACTGGAAAACTGACTACCAAATCTGATATATATAGCTTTGGCGTTGTTCTGCTGGAATTGATCACTGGACGAATGGCACTTGACTTGAGCAGACCCCATTCCGAACGTGACCTGGTCACTTGGGTAAACCATTTTTCTGTTTTCTGTCTTTATTGGATATTTGATAATGAAAATAAAGTTGTAGCATGTTTCCCCCCTATGAGACATGTGAAAAGTCAAATACATCATTTAGTAAATGAGTAATGCTATCAAGAAAGTACCTAAAGTTGTAGCATTTTTTTATTTTTTATTTTTGTATTCTCGTATATGATTTGAATGATGAGTTTCTTTTTGTGTTCTTGCAGGCTCGGCCTTTCTTCAGGGATAAGAAGAAAGCTCTTCGGCTGGTTGATCCTTTGCTGAGTGGCTGCATTCCTACCCGCTATGCCCATTCTGCAATATTTGTTGCTGAAAAGTGTCTCCATGATTTGCCTTGTAAGCGTCCTGACATTTGTGATATTGTTGAAGCACTTGAGTACATCGCCTGCAAATCCTATGAGCAAGAAGTGCCGATTGTTCCCAGCCGTGACCTCGCCTGCAAATCCTATGAGCGAGAAGTGCAGACTGTTCCAGGCCATGACCTCATTCAAAGCGAATTAGCATGCAATTTCTAGTGCCCACGGCCACCATTGCGCTGCCTGAATGTCATCACCACCTTCAGTTGCACCAATGGCAGCAGCATTTTTGGCCATTTTTTTACTAGTTGCCAGAACTCGTTGCCACGAATCCAGTTCAGAGTTCTCATGAACATATTTTCCGTTTAAATTTGCAATGTACATACATTTTTAGTTGAAAAAAGTAGTACGGGCAGTGTAAATGGATTATTTGCCATCAGTATTTATAAAGGTAATAGAGGTTTGAGTTCCATTTTTTGCTGTTGTGTTGAGTGCCAAATCACAATCACTCCATTTTTATTTTTTCAATGAAAGAATCAACGTTATAAATTTTTTTTATTTATTTTTCCCCTTCAGAAATTCAAACAATTAATAAATTAAGAATTAATATGTACACGATTGGGCCCAAGTTGGGCGACAACTTGTGGGTCATTAGGCCCAGACATTAGCCAAACAAGGCCCATGGTTAGGAAGGAAAATTACTCTCTCCCGTTAAAAAATCTATCATACCAACTCCGCCCCTACTTCGGAACCAGTTTGTAATTATTATACCATCCCCACCCCTGCTTCGGTAGACAAAGTATCGACTCCGCCCCATGTATTCTATTTGATTGCAGGGCACAATGGGGGCTGGTCGAGTTATGTCACTTTTATTATGTAATAAAGAAAAACTAGCCCAACGTATTCAAATTGGACTGATAAATAAGTTGATTACTAAATGATAAATATTAATATATTAACGGATACTTCCAGTTAAGTAACAAATATATTAAAAATATATTTATGTATATAAAAAAATTAAAAGGTATCATCATTAAATCTGCTCCCGCCCCAAACCTGCTTCAGGTTTTTAATTATTTTACCATATCCGTCCCAAACTCATTTAGGGGTACACCAAATCCACCCATTAGGGGCGGGGGTGCGCCAGAAACCCACGGGTCGAAAGAAATTGTCATCCCTCCCAGCCCAGAGTAATTCAAAGATGATTGACGCAACGGCTCTATAAACTCCTACCAAAAAATTACTTGGGTATCCCAAAGGTGAACCAGGATCCTCTCTCTTGTGTATTTTGATCCATGTATCTAATTCAACAAGTTTATATCGTGAACTTTAAATTGCAACAAAGATATAATATGTTGCATTATTGTTGTAACTTGGATATAAACTATTTGCGTGAGTAAACATTTTTTGATGTAGCTATGTTGCAGTATGATGTAGTGTTACACTACTGCCATACCACTGCACAACGTTCCCAAAATTGGAAGGAATTCGAGTTCATGCAAAGGTACCAAAAATGTAGTCGGCAAATGATAGAATTGATGTTTTTTACCAGTAAATAAAATAATGAGTGTTTATTGCTATTATAAAGTCGGCACTCTTAGAGTATCAAATAATTTCTCCTACTCTAAATACTTTAATGTTACGGTGAATTGATTTTAACCAAATTTCTTACTATTTCAATTTCAAAATGTGAATTCCGTGATCTTAAACATGAGAAATTATTAGATGGTTTTAGTCTATTTGACACTTAATGGACTAATTTAATAAAAACCCTCCGATAATAAAATTTTATAATTTATTAATACACTCTTATGAGATCATTTTTTTAATTAAAAAATATGTATTTACCTAATCCACTAAATATTAATGATTTAAAATCATCTAATAATTTCTTCACCATGGTCATCGGTGTTCCTGTGATGAAAGTTTCAAAAGTAGCTGCCTTATTTAATGTCCCTAAAGTTGGTAGACTAAGGCCACCTGGTACCAACAATAAGGTACATTTTTCACAGAAAATTCTCGAGACTGTTTATAAATTCTGACACCCAACGTTTTTACTTTAGCTTATTATATTCAGTTTTAATTCTATATAAAATTTAGAATAGTCAAATATATATATATATATATATATGAATACTTATGTACTATGAGTCTATGGTGATCTTAGGCATATCAAACTACCCCAAATGGTAGCCTTCCAATTAAATTTCCAGGAAAATACCAAGTCAAAAAAATGGTAGAATTGACCCATTGACTTATCATGATTGGTAAGTAACCTGGAAAATGCTGGGAACTTGAGCATGAAAATATTACTCTATATTTGAATTAATGTTTTATTGAGTCTATGCCTGGTTGAAGGTCTTGTTGAGAAAATAAACGTAATTAATCAAAACTTTGTTGGTCCAAGACCTACTCCAATTCTCAGACATGAAACTTGTACTCAATCAATATATCATTGTATATTGCAAGTTTGAAAAGGTTTACTATTGAGTCAATGACCATTGTTGAGAAATGAAAATTGGAGACATTTACTAATAAACAAAATCAAACTTGTATATATATTTTTATTTAGTTTATAGGGTTTTTTGAAAATTTTCATAACTCAATTCAATGGACCTACCTCTTTGCATTCTCACTTTTGTCAAATGTTTTATATTAAATTGACAAGTTTTAGTCAACTTTGTTAGCAGTGAGAATGCAAACACTTAGCATTTTCATTTTTGCCGAATAGTCTTATATTATAGTCAAATATTTCATACCGAGTACTAAATTTATAACTTTTCTCAACTCAATGAACGTGCTTATTTGTTCAAAAATCATATTTATCGGACAATGTAATTCTTTTTAGATAAGAAAGAGATCTGTTTAATTAAGTTAAATATCATGCGAGATCAGTTTAATTTGTTCTAAATTATATTATAAAATAATCACCAAAAAAGGGGTAAATTGAAAAAATAAAAAGAAAAAATATCCTTCTTATCAGTGATTTCAGCACACATATGTAGGAAATATGAACTTAGTTTTTAAGTAAAAAATAATAATTTAATGAAATAATAAAAGAGTATAAGGGTAATTTTCAAAATGCTTTTTATTAAGGCATCGTCTTCTTTGAGTTTCTTCTGCGTTGTGAGGTTAGTTTAAGATTTCTCTGTACGGAGCCGGATTGCGTTGTCCTTTTAATACGTTTACTTGGTCAGACTAACATCATTCATGATGCATACCCATTAGTTTCAAACTATATATATATATATATATATATATATATTCTATGTGACCCACCAATATATACTTATATTATTTATATATCCGACCAACAAAGTCAAGAGTCTAGGAAGTGGGGGAAGAAAAATGAATTCCAAGGAAATTTTATATAATCAAACATATATTAAAGAAGACGACATCAAGAGCAGAGCTGTTAAGGGATTTTTCATCTTCATCATCAACCACAGAAAATATCGTTCCCTTTTCTCTCTTCTTTGCCAAAGGAAACTAGTTATGCCCATCTCTGTCTCTGCATAGCATCCAAGAAATATATATATATATATAGATTTAGAGTGAGATTAATATGGGGGGTTGCTGGGGTTCTCCTTCTAAAAGCCAAAGCACTCGCACGACTTCCCATTTAAGTTCAGGTACCACAAATATATTTGATTGCTTTTTCTTTTTCCTATGTTTGTTTGTACTAGTATAGTAATATTCCATTAATATGGTTACTTTTCTAATAATATTGTGTACTGCTTCTGATTTTGTTAGAGAAATTTAGGGAAGAAAATTAATCTTTTACTCATTATTGATATCAAATTTTGTACAAGATATACCTATATATACCATAGCTCTCCAAATGGAAAAGAAATTAAATCTCCTATAATCTGTTCTAGAAAGATACAAATGTACAATAATTAGAAAAAAGTAGAGATTTTGTGAGGCTGATAATTTTTGTGAATATTACACTAATCCCAATTCCCTTCAATTATTAAGCGAGTTTTTATTTTCTAAAATTAATTTCCTCCCTAGCTGCTTAATTTCATTTTATTTCATTTCATTAATACATTTCATTAATCCATTCTTGTATCAGTATATTGATACCTAAAACCCTGATTTGACCTCAGATTTTATTTTAGAAATGGTCATAGTACTTAACACTATTCAATTAATTATCTGTGTTTGCTTGTCTTTTCCACAATTTCTTTTAGTATATACTTAATTTCATACCATTTTATTGCATAGTTGGTATAATATATATCAGTTTACCCTGTTTTTGACTTGTGATTGGGACTGTAATTGATTATTGCAGCTGGGACATCTCAGACAACCAGTAACACATTTTCTAGCTACAGCAATGTCTCTGGAAACAGCCGGTTCACGGCGGGAAGTGGCGGGGATGAGCCATATCCAACAGGGCAGATCTTGCCCACCCCCAATTTGAGAATCTTCACATTTGCAGAATTGAAAGCTGCAACTAGAAATTTCCGAGCTGATACCGTGTTGGGAGAAGGAGGTTTCGGGAAAGTTTACAAGGGTTGGCTAGATGAGAAGGCCACATCTAAGAACGGTGGTAGTGGAACGGTCATTGCTGTCAAGAAGTTAAATTCTGAGAGCTTGCAAGGATTTCAAGAGTGGCAGGTAGTTCAACTTTACTCAATTTGTCATTTTACTTATTTAATCTTGTGCACTTTTAATTTGCCTTAGCTTAGTACTTGTCATGTATTCAATATTTCAATCTCAGAATCATAAACTATAATTTAATTATTTCTTCTTTTCATGTATGCCTAAATTTTCCATATGTGTGCATTTCCATGTAAATGAATAGTTGTTGATCAAGAAACAGTTTTCTAAAATGAATTGATGGTTTCACAAGCTTTGTTTAATCAACTGCTAATGGCTGCCTAAAGCAGTATTTAATTAATACGAAATTTGTTGTTGGATTTAACTTTATTGGGTTGGTTAGGGTTTGAGGAATTGAGATGCCTCTTGTCACCTCTATTTCGTTGAATTTAGTTTCTTAGTGCAGAATACTAAAACAATGGCAGTTCTATTTTTTCACACGAAAAAGTGAAAAGGTCACTAACCATTTAATTTTTTGTTTAGGATTTGCAATTTTTTTTTTTGGGTGTGTATGCCTCTCTTGGGAGGGGTAGAGGATGGAGGAGGGAATCATAAAACCCCTAGTCATAGCATATTTATCAGATAAAAAGTTAGTGTTTTTCTTTGTCTTCTACATTCTTACCTAGTAATTTATTTCTCTACTCTAGCTATTCTATATTGTCCACATTCTTATTGTATTATTGTAGTATGAGAAGTGGAACTATTCCTCATATTTCTAGATTTCCTTCCTATACACAAGAAAATAATTTAATGATCTTTTAAATGGTGTAATACGGAAATGATTTTACATTCGAGGTTCCCATTTTGATAACTGAATGTTCTTTGGAGGCTATGTAGCACTTGTAGTTGATTATTAAATTTTGACAATCTAGTGCGAATTGGAAGTGTTTAAATATTTATAAGTAAAAATCCCCTTCAGGTGTATATCTAATTTAAAACAGAAATTGCAGACGAAGGGTTAAGTAGTTAATTCAGTGATGGTGGATTTTGGAGTTAAATGACCTCGGATTCTTCTGTTTTATAAAATTTGTAATTAAAACTGGGAAATTACATAAAACACATCTTAAGTTCTGGAGCAAAATGAAGGAAATCGGAAGCCATGTTATTTGTCTTTCTAGTGTAGCATCAGGTGTTAGCTGCAATTCTGATTTCAGTTATGAAGACAACAAGGCGTTGCAAATCCCTTTCTTTCTCTACTGTTCATTTTGAAGGGGGAAAAAAAAACCGAAGAAAAAGAAAAATTATGTATTGGGAACCACATAAACTAAAATGAGTTGTTAGGTAAATGGCTGAAAGTTGTTGACTTGTTATGGTGCAGTTTTCAGTTGGCTGCTCACTCAGAGGTGTGGATATAATCTTCTGGTCTAAAGATCAATTAGTTGGTTCTTGGTATCTGCAACCACTTTAAAAGGAGGTGTAAAGTTATTAACGTGATTTTCTGTTCATTCTTGGAAATTTTAATTATGTGGGAAGTGATATTGTTAAGCTGGAATTTTTATTTAATGCTGCTAATATTTGTTAGTTGTTAATACTCTTTCCCTTGACATGTGGAGGACTAGTTGCTTTTTCACTAATTTTTTAATTTTTTTTTTACAAATGTAATATATAAAAGTTCTTCTAAATTCTTTCTTGAATTTGTTTTTTCATTTATTTCTGCAGTCTGAGGTAAATTTCCTGGGAAGGCTTTCTCATCCTAACCTAGTTAAGTTATTGGGATACTGTTGGGAGGACGATGAACTATTGCTCGTCTATGAATTTATGCAAAAGGGAAGCTTGGAGAACCACCTTTTTGGAAGTAAGACTGTGTGTTTTAATCAATGCAAATGTGCAACATTAGTGAATATTAACACAGTTTTCTTCTACAAATTAGTTGAATTCATTTGATTGGTTAACTCTACGACAAATGCTTTGACTCGTGCAGGGGGCTCAGCTGTTCAGTCACTTCCATGGGGCACACGGCTTAAGATTTTAATGGGAGCAGCTCGGGGCCTGGAATTCTTACACGCAGCAGAAAAACAAATAATTTATAGAGACTTCAAGACTTCAAACATATTGCTTGATGGGGTAAGTTATGTGCAATCGACAGATTAGTACCACATGATATATAAAGGATTTTGAATCTATTTCATTTTTGAACATTTTTACCTTTTCCATTTTGTCATGCATTATTATGGGGAAAGGTTTATCAATTAGGTCTTATTAAAGGAAGCATGAACTCCTAAACTGATTCTAACATATTTTACATTTGTTGTCTTTTTTTTTCCAGTCCTATAATGCCAAGATATCAGACTTTGGCTTGGCAAAATTAGGCCCCACAGCTAGTCGGTCCCATGTGACAACACGGATTATCGGCACATATGGCTATGCTGCTCCTGAGTATGTTGCCACAGGTAACCCCCTGCACCTTTTTGAGCTTCATTGCTCCTAAGGCTAAATGATGATCAGAATCGGAGTTTTGGCCTCTGCTTTAGTGAGGTAAATTGTGTCATGTTTTCTGATATCATGCTTATTTGACAGGACATCTGTATGTAAAGAGCGACGTGTATGGTTTTGGTGTTGTATTGGTTGAAATGCTAACAGGCTTGCGAGCACTTGATACAAACCGTCCAAATGGGCAACATAATCTGGTTGACTGGATCAAACCAGAATTATACAACAGAAGGAAGTTGAAGGACATAATAGACTCCCGGTTCGAAGGGAAATATCCTTCCAGAGCTGCTACACAAATGGCTCAACTTGCTCTAAGATGTCTTGAACCTGAACCGAAAGACAGGCCACCAATGAAAGAAGTTGTGGAGACACTGGAACAGATTGAAGCCATCAATGAAAAACCAAAGAGGCCGAGAATCAATTCTAGAAGTCATACAGCTTATCGACCTGCCCAGCAGCCTGTGCACCATCATCGTTCGCCACTTCACCCGAGGGTAAGATAAAAATCAAGCCTAGCAAGTAGCAACACTGGTCACCACTTGCTTGAGTGATGACTTTGATACTACAATTCCTATGAAGAGCTCTTTGCATAGAATATTTTTTTGTTGCCTGTTTCTTACATTCATCAAGTCCCTAGCTATTTCCCCTAATATCATTCAATGTCTTGATATATGAAATGAGTTTTGTTGTTGTAGTTGTGTTTTATGTTTAACATTTGAGAATATTAGAGTTATTTCTGTTGTTTGTTGAGATATTGTCATTTATGCATTTGGGGGGGAGGGGGAACTTATAAATGGTGACAATTAGAATTTCTAAGGGTTGTGGTGATGATGAAAGTCTTATATTGCTTAATTCGGACTTAAACTTCTTGTTGATTTTGTGTGTGTGTGTGTGTGCGGGCACAGGAACTTGAACAGGTGATATTGAAGCTTTAATTAACTAAAGTAAGGCATGCAGCAATATACTTTTCATTGGGATAGGCAAGTAGAAGCCACAGATGAAAACTCTGTGCAGGGGACATTGATTTCATTTTCTAAGACCATTTTTCTATTTATAGAGAACAGAATAAAAGAATACCACAGTGTGGGTTGGGGTGGGCAAAGATTCGGACACTCAATTATCGAAAAAAAAAAAAAAAAGAATACTAATTTTATTATTCTTTAAAACCCTGCTTCCTGAACTATATATTTATTTAAATTTTTGTTTTTGAATTTGACCGTTTAATTTAACCATTTGTAGCTAAATTAGATATCATTTGATTTTTTTTAAAATGAAGAAATCTATCATGTTCTGCATTTGTCAATGACATTCCTTGTTTGCATGTTCCTACCAATTAGTAATTACCAACCAACCTCAACCCAGACGACTTGTTCCACGAAACGATGAAATAAGTCATGTTTGGTTAAAACCTGATGCAAGTGAAAGGAAATGGAGAGGACGCAGAAGAAGAAATTAGCGCGTCGAAAACCAGTGAATTGTTTGACCAAGTCAATGTATTTGGATTTTATGACAAGACTGGTCCCCGCCAGCTAAGATGTAAGTGCTGATGGGGAAAGGAAGTTCAGCAGACCCATTTTTCATCATTTCGAAGTAGACTTGTACATGCTCCAGTCACGGATGTGTTATTGTAATTAAAGTTATTAGAAATGATTTAAAAAGTGATGGTTGAACAAATGTCACTTCAATTTTTTTTTGACTCTTTACGGGAATTGTAGTATCGATTCCTGCAAAGAGTCACTTCAATTTTTTCAGCAGTCACTTCAATTTTTCCAAGGGTCACGGTAACAACTTTCACACTTCAAAAATATCCATTCCATCGTACTCTTAGAATTTTCTCTTCCCAAAAATATATTAAAAAATATTAAAAAAAAATTTATAACTTTTTCCTAATTGCTATATTTCTAACAATATATTCCTAACTGCTATATTTTATATCTTGTATAAAGAATATTCATTTGTTTGTCTGAAAATCATCGCTACATTTATCTCTCTCCATTGTAACAAAATATCATTATCTATATCTTTCAATTTTGAAATTTCAATAGCTTCGACATCACAAGTTTTTCTTTTGGCACACTTTAATTCTTCATCTTTCTCGTCATACTCTTCGGAAGATGACTTTATTACTGCGTTGATTCAACAGAATCAAGACAAATTATATAAGGTTATGAATTCAGTGAGCCCAAAGATAGTTGAACAAGTATTTCAAGTCTGTAATAAGAAATGGTACATTCATCATGACCAAGAGGGAAGCCACTATTAGTTAATGTGAGACTACTTCGATGAGAATTGCACATATCCACCGGAATACTTTCACATACGATTCAGGATGTGACGATAACTTTTTCTTCGTTTCCTTAATGATGTCAAAGCTTATGACGATTATTTTGTCCAAAAAATGGATGCGACTAGTCATTTGGGGTTGTCTTCTATACAGAAGACGACAACTGTTAATCGTATACTCGCATATGGTTGTGCAATCAATCACTATGATGAGTATATTAAAGTCGACGAGAACGCTGCCATTAAATGCTTAAAGGCATTTTGTAATGCTATTATTGTTGTTTATGCAGAGGAATATATGTGCCCACCCAACGAAGCCGACATAGCATGGCTGCTTCAAGAAGAGGGGCAGAGAGGATTCCCTGATATGCTTGATTCTATTGACTGTATACACTGGAAGTGGAAGAATTGCCTAATGGAGTGGTATGGCACACACATGGGACGCTCAAGTAAGCATACTCTCATATTAGAAGCGGTTACCTCACAAGATTTGTGGATCTGGCATGCATTCTTTGGAATGTCGGGTTCATACAATGATATAAATGTGTTGGATCATAGCCCGATATTCAACGGTATCGTCAATAGCCAGTTGCCTTCGGTTAATTATGTGGTGAATGGACATCATTGTAGAATAAGGTATTACCAGTCTGATGGTATACACCCCAAAGTGGGCAACTTTGATACAAACCATCCCACACCCAAACACTGGAAAAGAAATTTTTTTTGCTCAAAGACAAGAGGCATGCATGAAAGATGTGGAACGAGCTTTTGGGGTATTGCAGATCAAGAGGGCAATCACATAAGGACCAGTGCATTACCGGAAGAAAGATGACTTGCGCCTCATAATGAAAACGTGTATCATCATTCACAATATGATTATTGAAGATGAGCGTTACACAAATGTTGGAAGATGGAATCCACTACCGGAGGAGGCAATCCCAATTTCCACTTTAAGTCAATGCCCATCGGTTTTAGCAATACATATCTTCTCTCGCCAACTTTAGATTCGCAATAGAGAGACAAATACACGGTTGATGAATGATTTGATGGAAAATTTGTGGAACTATTATGGTGATGAAAACGCTTAATTTATTGTTCATTTTTTTTGCTTTTAAGATGTTATGACATTTCGTGTACTAGAATTTTCATTACGTAATGGTTTTTTAAAATTAAAAATGATGAAATTGTTTCTCAACGACAATATTTTTCAATCAAACAATATCTTTGCAAATTATTAAAAAATGTGGGATTGATAATATAACTTGAAACAATACATTATCCAATATGGATTAAAAATATATATATATAAATTAAACAAAACAATTAAAAATAACTTAAACAATACAATAATATCCTGAATTGTAATAAGAAAATAAATATAATAAGGATTACAAAATCCTATGGGAACCTTGAGGCGGACCGTGAATGTATAGATTCAAACATCTCATGTTATCGTGCAATAATCCAAACTTTCCCCACTTTTGTTGGTGTCGAATTTGGATCTGTTAACATAATCTCCTTCTATTCAGCTCCTTTTTTCTCCTCAATCTCCTGTTGCCTCGCATTCTTTTTCTCCGCTTTTCTCACCTCTTGTGCCACTTGGGCATCCTTCAATTTCTCCTGACGACTTTCATAACGGTATTTGAGATCATTAAAATTAGTAACGAATGAATTTTGCAATTCAAATGTAGAATTATTTTTTGCTTAGCACTACTTCGCCACTTTTCTTCCTGCTATTCGTTGTAGTTGTTAATATTCTTCCACACCGGGTGAATTATATTCGCCCATGTGTGGTGATTCTTCAGTTGAAGCTCCATTTGTTGTGATTGCATGACTTAATGGAGTAAATGGTAATGAGTGTCTAATAGACTCATTAATGTCAAAGTCAAATCCACTCATTTTCTTCAGCTGTTTTTTTTTTTTTTTTTTTTTTTTCCTAATTGTTCGGCACAATGTGAATGTCATTTATTATTATGCTTCAAGATATGTCAACAACTTTCTAACTTAAATTCACCACCTATTTGTCTACGAAACAAGTCTTTAGCTGTTATCATCTACAAGAAAAAATTAACCAAAAATTAAAAGCCGAATGTTTACAATATTTATGAGTTATATTTAAAACAACAAATTACTAACCACGTCATCAGTGTCGAAGTCGCTGGGGCGATTCATTTCGATGTTAGTCATGCACCCGAAAAATTTGCTGATTTTTTGTTGGATGGTGGACCAACGATTCATTAAAGCTCCTGGATTTCGCGAAGTTGGTTGTTATACATAACGTTCCGAGATTCGCTCCCATAACTTCTTCCTACTTTGGTTTGCCCGTAATCGCATTGGAGGTAACGGACATCCATGCCCAACATAAAGCCTCATTTTCGGACTTGAATCAATTTGGATTTTAGATAATCGATTGTTGTGTAAAAGGTTGTGAGTTACTTTATTATGGAACACCAGTGCCACAATATTGATGAGAAGGTTGGGATGGTTGATAAGAAAGAAATTGAGATTTTTTTTCATAAGAATTAAAATGTAGTTCTGACTGGGAAGACTAATCGATATTGCTTTCAGGAAATGACAAAAACTCATCGTTTGATGAGTTGAATTGGGTGTTGTAGAACTATGGATGTAGAGGATCCATGGAATCGGAATGAGTTTGAAAATAATAGTTAATATTGAGAAAATAGAAAATGAAATAACTTGAATAGTAGAGAATAAAGATGAGTTATATGTAATAAATGGTGGTAGTACTTGGAGTATTTATAGAAGAGAAATGAAATTTTAATTTTTAATATTTTGAAAAAAATATAAAATTATAGCCGTTAAGACACTATTTGTATCAGCCAAATAGTGCCTTAACGGCCAAATGCACTGTTTGTGGTAGAATTTTAAAATTTAAAGCAAAAAAAGTTTTAAAAAATCAAAATTTAAGGGGAAAAAGAAAAGAAAGATTTTTTAATTTATTTTTGGCTCAAATCAATTTTTTTTTTTGGACAAACAGTGCCTAAACAATATATTTTTTATTTAATAAATTTTATTTCATGTTTTTTGAAAAAACCGAGCTCAAAATAATTCATGTGGGCCCACCCAATTAGCGTTAGGCTACTGCGGCGCTTTTGGGCATTTGATTTTTTAAAAAAGTTTTAAAAAATCAAAATATAAGGGGAAAAAGAAAAGAAATGTTTTTAATTTATTTTTGGCTCAAATCAATTTTTTTTTGGATAAACAATGCCTAAACAATATATTTTTTATTTAATAAATTTTATTTCATGCTTTTTTAAAAAAACTGAGCTCAAAATAAATCATGTGGCCCCGCCTAATGCGGTGCTTTTGGGCCATTTGGCTTGCAGAAAAGGGTTCCGGCTACTGGTGCTCTAAAGTGAGGGATGTTGATGATTTTAACTTTTTCATTTTAAAATTTTGATTATTCGTTCTTAATATTTTTCTAACTGTAATACTTCTCAATATCATGCAATTTTGTTTCTCTAAATAAAAAAAATAGAAAGAAGGAAAAGGATTATCGCAATTATTGGGTCTCTTTCATTTTTTTCCCCTGCGCACTAAATCTTGTTTTTATAAGCACGCACTAAATGGAGATTGATTATCATATTTCTTTATTTATTTTCTATATTTAACACATATCACAAATACATTTTAAATCAAGTACGACACATTACCACATCACTGCGACACATTACCACATCCCACATCACAAATATAACAAGCTCCACATTACACATTATAGATACAAAATAATGTAACACATCTACATTCAAATATATTATACTAATGCAACATATTGCTTGTATTATTGTAACACCAATAAATAAAAAATTTAACACACTTTAAAATAGATGGTTTATAAATTTGTTATTCTCAAATATAATATAATAATATTTTATTGAAGGACATTATTATAAAATTAATAATAAAAATATTTTTAAAAAAATATTATTATAAAACAAAAATTTGTTATTACGTGTAATAAAACAAATTAAAAAGTACTAAATGACTTCACTACTTTCTCTCATTTCAAAGGCAAATGTGGAGTTTTGTGTGGCAGCTTTGGTAACAAGAAAAAAATAAAAATAAATAAATAAACAATAATGAATTTGTAGCAGCTCTAGCAACAAAAATAAATTTTCTAATTTTTATTTTTATTTTTCAATTAGGCCCTTAAATGCATTTGAGCGGATTGGATCTAAAATAAAAATCTTGATTCCACCGGTGATATTCCTGGTCTCGTTCCGTTACTTTCAACTCTCCGTCCAAACGCACCGTTTAGCTTAATTCTTCTAATCTTATCGTTTGTTTCCTGAGAAAATACGATTCGGTAAGTAGAAGAAGATCCGCGAGAATCGCTAAGGAGTTCTCTCAACAAAGTCTAGAACTTTACACTCGCTTTCTGGTATAATTCTCTCCTTCTACCCTCCTTCCTGTACTGTGTGTATATATATATTGTCCCTTTTCCTAACTGCTTAATAATATGATCAGCTTTCTTTTCAATTTTTAGTAGGATTACATCTTCGGTCATCCCTTTCCAGGTAAACCACTAAAACCCCAGGTCAACAATGTCAGTGTGTATGTCGGTGTGTGTTTTTAAATCTGTGTACAATTGTGTGTGTAATTTTTAAATCCTCCAGTGTATAACGTAGAGAATATCCCCATTACCCATATGCTCATGGTGGTCGATTTTGTGTCTTGCTATTGTGGTTCTGATAGCTTTATGCGACGTTGATTATCTACTAATACCTATCACAACATCTTATTATTTATTTTTTTGGTTTTAGTTTTCATTCCTGTTTTTAAGTTTTGGTTCTGTTCAGATTTTGGTTTATTCTCTCATCTGGGCAATTTTCATTAAGGTTCTCTTAGGTTCATTGAAACCCAAGTGCTCCCTTTGATTGCTGAAGTTATTGTTAAATCATAGCTACCATGAAAGCTCGCTCAAGAAGATTTTTGAACTCTGCATCTCTGTTAATTGTATTTTTCTTCATGGTAAGTGTTTTAGATTTAATTTATCACTTAATTTATTCTGATCAAACTTTTATAACCTATGCCTACATTTTGCTTTACTTGATTCACTTCCATGCATTTTCTCTTCCTTTTATTTTATTTTTATTTTTATGTAGCTCAAAATATAAAATGATGATCTCTATTGGGGTATCAAATGTGATCAAATCTGTTACATTGTGTTTCTCTTGTTGGCCTGAAACTAGGGCCACACTTTTATTTTCAATTAAGAAGATTGTATCATTGAAACATGCTCCCAGGGTAGGGGGAAAATTAAATTTAGAAGAAGTAAGCAAAAATGGAGATGAAAGAAGATAAACCTTAGGATTGGAGTGCAATCGAGGCTTTAGATGTCTTACGATATCTGCAAAGAATTTTATATTTAATTCTATTAAAATGTCTTTACAAGTCTGTTTGCATAGAAGCGTAAAATCTAAATACTTTCAACAGTACTCTTTAATATGTTTAATTGTTAAATATTCAAGGCAGTGATAAGAAATGCATTTTATAGTTACCAATGGGCCAGTGGTACCAAGCCCCTACTTTCCAAAGGGAGGTCAGGGGTTCGAGACTTAGTGGAGGCACGTGTGTGTGAATAATAACTACGATTAAAAAAAAAAATTCATTTTATAGTTTTTTTGGCTTTTTTGTTTTTGTTTTTGTTTTCTAACTAGGTATACTGCTAGAAGCATCAGGGCATGCTTTTGATATTGATCCTTTAGTTTTTTGGGTTGAACAATAAAATGTTTCACTTTCTCAATTTGCCATCTCTATCTTAATCCTTGCTCTGCGGTGCCATTAGTATGGACCTTTCCCTCAAGTATCATCATGTACTCACCCTTATGTTATAGGTGCATTATGCCAGATTTTAGTGTTGTCTTATACTTCTCACCGTCTCCACACAGGTTATGATTCATATTGTTCTTGTCGGAGCAAATATATCAGATAACCTAACAGCGTAAGATCACTCATAAGCATCTTTATTGTTGTATTGAAACTGTATATAACTCGTGGACATACATACTGTTACTAAACTGTTTGCAGTTATGGTTTTAGTACATATTTGGCATAATTGACTATGTTATTTGCATCAGTAACTGTTTGTCGTGCTTGTTTTGTTTTGTATTTTCCAGCCGAGAGCTTAGAGGAAGCTTGCAGTTGTATGATTGTCCTCAATGTATCGGCAGAAAGGTTTCAGCCTCAACCTACTTTCTAGCATTTGTCAAATGCAATATAATTTACTTCTGGTCTGTATAAAAAATGTTGACTTAGTGTTTCATCATTGAACCTTCTCATTATATATTATGAATTTTCAGTAACTAAAGTTAAGAGTTATGAAACCTGTAGCAATAATTTTCATTTTCTTGGATTGGATTGTGCTGTTCTTTAAAAATCTCATTGTGAGGTGCTCTAGATTTCAACTTCATCCATTTGCAGTCTACATCTTTCTACTTGAGGACGTAGTTCAGGATACTTTATCTTGAAAATTAGTACATTGTGAGGCATCTTATCTGAGTTTGGGAGAATTAAAGGTCTAATTCAGTTATCAATCATGCCTTCTTGTTCTTGGATTGACTTCTTGTTGTATAAGAACCCATTGGCTGCCTCCAAGTTCTGAAGAGATGTTCTTTAAAGGATCTTAGGAAAAAATTGAGGCATGCAGGAAAAAAATGAACCACTATATCCTTGTTGACTAGTGACTTGGCGTTGAATCTTTGTCAACTGGTCTCCACTAGTGTGTTTTTTTTTGGGCTTAAGTATGTATTGGCCACACATCTCAATAAGAATTCACACATTTGTCTTTGTTCTTTTTGCTATGGATTGGTTTCAAGGGTAAAAATTAGAACCAAATGGATTTTAATGGTCTTTTGAATATTGAAATCAAACTGATGAAACCGCATAAATAGAAACAGTGTGGCTAGGGACTGTTGGGATTTGATGATTGGGCTGTTTGGGATCCCTTGGGTCATGCCTGGATCCTCTAGAGGGTTGGTTGAGGCTTGGAGAGGATTTTCAGTGGGGGCTCTCATCCGAGACGCTTGGAGGGCTACGCCTTTGTGCATTTGGTGGTGCATTTGGCTTGAGAGAAATAGGAGATATTTCGATGGAAAGTAAAAGCCTATCTCTATGCTTAAGTTCTCTATTATTTCCACTCTTTTTTGTTGGGTTTCAGGGAGAGATTTTCATTCTGTAGATGAGTTGGTGGTTTTTTTGGCCTCTTTGAAGGCTTAAGGCGCTTTTGGCCTTGTTTTGTATTTGGGTTTCGCTGCCCCTCTGAGCGGTTTCTTTTATATAATTTTACTTATCAAAAAAAAATAAAAAAAATAGAAACAATGTGAATCGTATGAACATAGTTTGGATCGGGTTGGTTATACACACTTTATGTTCATCTAAAAACTTAACCCAATAATTACTAGGCTCAAGCCAAATCATGCCATACTAAACCAACAGTTATGGTTTGGATGAAATTTTCTTTTGCTGCCTACTCAAGAGTGTATTTCTAGTTTTTAAAATCTGCTAGTAATGACGCAATATTGCAATTTTCCTATAAAAATATTATTTATTAAAAATATTGTGCACAGGCCAATGAGGGTTGGAGTTATGATAAAAGATATATATATATATATATATATATATATATATAGATATATATATATATAACTAGGTTACAAATAAACCGCTCTGTTCACACACATAATCTTATAAAAATATTATGTTCTCTTATACGTGCTCTGTAATTAGATATTAAAAACAACATAAACTGGGTACATGCATTTTCAACCATAGAAGGGGCAGTGAGGAAATGCATTTTCCTTTTTGAACTAGTGGTCCAATATTGGTAGAGGGAACTGTTAAATTTGCTGCACCTCACCTCTTTTCTCTACCCATTCTCCTATCTTGCACTTTTAATTAATTTCAACCGAAATCACTTTCTCTTCACATCTTTTCTTCTATAAATTGAACTCTACTTGTGGGCTGCTTGGTTGATTTTGTTATTCCACTCAAATTGGTATCTACAACAGATACAGACAGAAAGAAATTGATGGAGTATTCCTCAAGGCAGAATTTGGTATTCTTTGTTGCTTTTTTATAAGTAGTCTTGAGATTTTTTCCACACATTCCTTACTTCTTGATGAAGGGGTGGGATTTATTACACACCACTGTCTTATTTTTTATTTTGTGATGGAGACGATGAGTTTGGTGAGTTGATAGTTGATACCAAAACCGTAAGGGGTTTGTATCAACGCCTTCCCTGTATATGTCAAAAGAGTTTTTTAATCTTCTGTTTTATGGGGATAACCTTGGTATATGTATATTTTTTTCAGTCACATACCAAGGAAAGAAATTAATGGACAATTACATCAAGAAAGGGGTGATGCAAGGCAACTGGAAGTGGATAGGCACTTTGTGGCTTCAAAGAAGAATCTGTTGGTGATGGACAAGGAGGATACATGGTCTCCTTCAATTCACGTTATCTAATTTGGTGGCACTTAAAAGACATATTAAGGTGATACCTGTAAATTAGGAAAGTTAAAGAATTCTTTTGGGCAAGGCGTTGATACTAACCCCCAGAGGGGGGCTTTGGGAATAAAAAATTAGTTACCAGTGTACTATCGGTTATATTCTTTTACTAAGGAGGAGAATGGGACGTGACGTGAGAGTGAATACCAGGACTACCTAGCAAACATGTTAACATCAATTAGACAAACTTATGGTTTGAAGTTGAATTCTATAGGCAAACTCATGGTTTCAAGTTGAAAGCCAGAGGATTAGATGTGGATAGAAATCATAGAACATGAATGTGGCAGCATATCTTTGATAATATATCTTTGACGAATGAGGGCTAGAGAGTGCCAAGGCGTAGCTTCCTTTGAAGTAGAATAGTAATCCCCTCTACCTTGAGCAGAAGCCATGGGGTGAAAAGATTTCGTGATGATCCTTAGCGTGGTATGCAGAGAAAGAGAGCTCCAAATTCCGGTATATTGGAGAGAGCAGCATGTCTAATGAGTCTAATTGTAAAATCAACACGCAAGTTATGCTAAATGAGCCACATGGTAGTGAAAGTGCCATGTAGTTTCCCAATCTTGACACTTTGTGGCAAGATGAGGTGTGCTCCGTAGTGACGTGTAAAGTGGGGTTCCGTTACCCGCTCCATTTCTGTTTCCATAATTGTGAGTCTCATACGACTCTTTTTTTATCCAAATGGTTAAGACAGGTGGATCTTTATCTCCCTATTTTCTCAATTAATGATGGAGCCTTTTGATTGGTTGAGTGGGAGTTTCATAGGTGTGGATTGTTATGGTAAGCAAGTCTATTAGTGCACAACACTTGTCTGCAAAAGGCAAACAACTGACTTCAAGGAAGAGTGTGTTCGCTTTTTTAGAGTAGATTTAAGGTTTGCACTCATCGCGGAGGTAATTCAGGAAAAGTTTCTGATAGGAAATATGAGTTCTTGAAGTTGGTCGGTGATATGAGAATGCAGGTTTGTTCTTGTGGTGTGGAATTGTGAAGGTCAAGAACAATATAGTGCAGTGGCAACCAAATATTTCACTTAGCTGGGCCTGATTACTGGAATAATACTGAGTTGGACTGAAATGTTAATCTGTCATAGATTCACAGTCACTCCTGTTGCCTAAGGCTGCTCCCTCTCACCCGCCACACACACACACACACACACACACACACACTTATATGTATTAAAACACATCAAATATGTTCATATCTTGCTATTTCATAGATTACATGTACTAATGTTTTGTTATTATTCATCATGTGGACCAAATGATGGGATGTTCAGGAACAAGTTCTCATAAAATCTGCTGTTGCAGTCACCAACCATCCAGATGAACAGGTAATCAGCAGTTTTCATTTTCTCATGGTAGATATTATTTTAATAATGCTTACTCCATTTATTTACAGAACATCGACATAATCGTGGCATACAGTGACACTTCTGGTGCCATTCGAATTAGGACTGTGAAGTCTAGAGACCTATCTGCTTCCTGGGTCTGGAAAAGTCCTATTGATAAAAAACATGGCCAGACACACAGTTCCCAGGTAGTAAAGTCCATTTTATGATTGAAGTTTATTTGGAAATAGTAATGTAAGTGTGAAAATTTAGTTTCATCAAAGAAAGCCATAAAATAATATAAATGTCTCAGTGATTGATAAATTGGAACTTCTTCATTTTTTTTTTTGACTCAGGCACTAGACGATCCATCTCAAGTGGAAATGAGATTGGAAGACGATTCTGAGCATTCCACTGATGAAGATCAATCTGAAAGTGAAATACCAAAACTACAGATGTCTCTGATGAATCCAGTGAAGCTCAAGCGCCGGGTAAAACCTCAAGTGCTTCTTATTATGTTCACTCTATATGTTATTTGGTTGGTTTGGGATCATGACTATTCCTTGCACCTCAGATGTTACGACAGGAGAGGAGGAATCTCCGCACTGCGGAGCTAATCAGACAAGACAAAGAGATTGACAACCAGATGCAAGCAGCTGCCATTGAACGGGCTAAAGAGCTTGACACCACTATCAAGGGAAAGTTCAGTATTTGGAGGCGAGAGTATGAAAATCCAAATTCTGATTCTACCTTGAGACTCATGCGCGATCAGATCATAATGGCAAGAGCTTATGCTAGTGTTGCAAAAGCTAAAAATGAAACTAGTCTATACGATACTCTTATAAAACATTCAAGAGAAAGTCAACGCGCCATTGGAGATGCTTCACTTGATGCTGAGCTTCAGCCAAGGTACTGTTATACTAATTTCTCCAGCTTAACCAAGTCTACGTGTTGGCTCTTGGTTTTCACGAGGACTTTCTCTTTTTTCCCTTGTCCAGTGCACTTGCTCTAGCAAAAGCGATGGGTCGCATTCTGTCTATAGCCAAGGATGAACTATACGACTGTCTTACAGTAGCAAGGAAGCTAAGGGCGATGCTTCAATCTACAGAAGTGAATGTAAATTCACTGAGGAAAAAGAGTGCATTCTTAATTCAGCTAGCTGCAAAAACGGTCCCTAAACGATTGCATTGCCTTCCTTTACAGCTTACAACAGACTATTTCCTTCAGGGTTATGAAAACAAGGAGTTTCCTAACAGAGATAAACTTGAAGATCCTTCTCTCTTCCATTATGCCATTTTTTCTGATAATGTACTTGCAACATCTGTTGTTGTGAGATCTACAGTGTTACATGCGAAGGAACCCGAAAAGCATGTATTCCATGTCGTAACAGATAAATTGAATTTTGCAGCAATGAAAATGTGGTTTCTTGTCAATCCTCCTGCCAGTGCGGCTATCCAAGTCGAGAACGTTGATGATTTCACATGGCTCAATTCATCTTACTGTCCTGTTCTACGTCAACTTGAGTCTGCTCGAATCAAAGAATATTATTTTAAGGCACATCAAGCTTCTTCACTTTCTGATGGGTCTGACAATCTTAAATATAGAAACCCAAAATATTTGTCCATGCTGAATCATCTTAGATTCTACCTTCCTGAGGTTTACCCAAAGCTAGATAAAATCCTGTTTTTGGATGATGATATTGTAGTTCAGAAGGATCTAACACCTCTTTGGTCTATTGATCTGCAAGGGATGGTCAATGGTGCAGTTGAGACCTGCAAGCATAGTTTTCATAGGTTTGATAAGTACCTGAACTTTTCTAATCCAAAGATCTCCCAGAACTTCGATCCAAATGCTTGTGGTTGGGCGTTTGGCATGAATATTTTTGATTTGAAGGAGTGGAAGAAGCGAGACATTACTGGAATATATCATCGCTGGCAAGACATGGTAAGAAAACCTTAGTGACCATGATTCCCTTGACATTCAGATTCAACAAAAACAAATGAGCATGCTTCTTATTGGTACTTGATGAAAGTTTTGATGTTAAAATTCACACGTGCACAATTCACACGTGCACAGTGCACTCAGTGTAGTTTCTCTTAACTCTGTGCATGTCTTCTAGTGTATTTTACATGTAGCTCAGTGTGGGTGTCTGAAATTATTTTTTTTTTGTGAGAGTTCCTACAATCTTACAAGTATTCATATTCTCCATTTAGATTATTGTTATTATTTTTATGCGAGAATTTAACAAACTATATGTGGTTATTTTCCTGAGAGAACTGCAGTCGATTCTAATGTGGAGGATATGTATATGACTTCATTTACAAGCATGAATAGGGATTAGTAGTTTGAAATGCATTTGGACTTCTTGTCATAACTGGTTTCTAGAAAGTTTCGCTTTTAGTTCTAGTTGTGCGTGCATACAACTTTTCATAAGATTTTCTAATTTGATATATATATTTCCCTTGGCAAGAATCTCCTACACACATTTATTTCTATGGGGACTCAAACCTGACCATTCACTTCGGGAGGTAGAGGAGATACCACTAGGTTACAACCCTCGGTGGTGGGGGGGTGATTAGTTTAGTAAATAGTTTTTCATATCATCATTCTACTGAAATTGTACTTTGTTGTTATTCTGAATTCCAGCTCACACAGAGATTATTTTGCAGAATGAAGATAGAACACTTTGGAAACTTGGCACGTTACCTCCAGGACTTATAACTTTTTATAATCTGACACATCCATTGGATCGGAGCTGGCATGTGCTTGGCCTTGGCTATGATCCAGCCCTTAACCAAACAGAAATAGAGAATGCTGCTGTCGTCCATTATAATGGAAACTACAAGCCATGGTTGGATCTAGCTATCAGCAAGTACAAGTCATATTGGTCTAAATATGTAATGTTTGATTCTTATCTTCAACTCTGCAACATCAATGAATAATGGTTTCATAATTTTATAAAGTTTACTTTCTCTCTCATGCTCTCATGCTCTCACGCAATGTCTGTTATTATTGTTTCTGATAAAAATAAAATAAAATTTGATTGTTTTTGCTCTCAGAGAAGTCATGCTCCCCTCTAATGATATAATGGTGTGTACTTAAGGCCTGCATTAATTTAGGGGAAACTAGTATTGGAAGATTGGCCCATGGGTTTGTAATTCATAGAGGTTCCAAAATTCATTTTCTTGTTGGAAATGTTTTAGTTGATGATTCTGGTTCTGCCTTTTGAAGTGTCCAACGAGATGCCCAGATGGAACGGTGTTCCTTGGAATTTTCACTTGTCTGGATTTCTCAGTAAATGTTGGCTTTAATGCAAGAGAAACGTATGCTTGCATGGGGACTATTCCATCAGATGAAGGGAATGCATAGTTAAATGATACAGAATGACGGTGGGTTGCTTGTGGCACGATGACAGAGAAAGCAGTTGCATTCTTGTAGGAAATGCATTTGGTACATGAAACGGCCAATGCCATTAACTTGTTAAAATCTTTTGGAGAACAGGCTCATCACACTGTAATTCAAAGAGACTTGGGGGCAGAGGTAGCAGCGGTAACTGCAATTCTGGATATGAACTCCAAATCAACACTAATGTATTCCTCAAAGAAGGGCCATTGATTGAATTCCTCATAGAAACATTGGGTCATGGAGCCCCATGACCGTAGGGTATTCTATGAATGGGATTGAAAGTGTTGCCCTAGCTTTGCTTACCAAGATGGAAGTGTGTGGTCTGAAGCCCAGTCCTGTAATGATGCTCCGACTGTGATCTGTGTAATTGTGGTTAGTTGTTGGAGGGGGCTCTCTTTTCTGCGGAAGTGATTCAAGATCACGTGCTTGATAATGCAGATTGCAGTGAGCTTGATAACGTGGCCTGGAGGATGAGATGGTGAGGAGAGGTGATGGAGGGTTTTTTGCATATTGATATTAAGGCATTAGATTTGTTTGAGGTTAGTGTCACCCATGGAGTGATGAGATATGTCCTACTGTTTAGCTTTAGCAGCTGCATTGAGGTATGAAATATGAATATGATCGAATTAGAGGAAGTATTAGGCTGTCACTGATAGTGTAAAACTTACCGTTGGCCTTGTGGTTCTATTGTTTCCATATCCTGCAGGTTGACAGAAGGGGCAGAGAGTCCCTTTGGCTATGTTCTATGAGCCTCACAATGTTGACATTGCTTGTCATGTTTTCATACTGGCCAATTTTTTACTTTTTCAGTTTTCGATTTTTTGGTCCACTATGGTGGCTTGCAATTACCAAGGACACCCTTTGCCAAGTCAGAATTTATTGTAGGGGCGATTTGATGAATAATTAGAATATATATATATATTTCAGTAGCAAATGTGGATATATAGAAGGATTAATTACACTAACCCTCTGACTGTTTTAAAGTTTATTGCAACACTATTGCTTAAAAGTTTGCAATAGTGTTTTGGGTTTTAATAATAACTTAAAAGATTGGTATGACTCAATTTTAATATTATTTAATATTTGAACATATGTTAAAATATTAATGATTTACTTCAGTCAGGGAATGAAGTTCATCATCCTAGACAGGATCCAAGTATTATTCAATATATAATGATCTTTGCAGTTGAATGCCTTATAACAGAGACCTCTTCTATAATAAAAAATAACATTGACTTTCGTGTTTATTTATCAAATTTGTGAAATTGCAATTATATTATTGTACCATTTTTTGTTTTTAATGTAAAATATTTGTCTTTTTAAGGGTTAAATTGGGTTTTAAAGAAAAATTTCAAGCATCATATATCTGATGAATTTTATGACGAGAGGCGAAGCATTTTATGACAAGAGAGGCCAGTCTTATGTTTGAAACTAGAGGGGAGGTTCCTCAAGTCGGTGTAATTTATCTACCAATTTAAATTATAGTATACATATTCTCTAAAATAATAAACAATTACTAATTCACAATATATATTTTTTGTTTTTTACTTTATACTTTTACGGTATATTCAGCTGTAATTTTAGTTCAATTTTCTACTTTCCTTTTCTCTCCTCCCAAGTCCTACTTTCTTTTTTTTTACTCCCAAGTCCTACTTTCTTTTTTTTTCCTCCAAATCCTACTTTCCTTTCCAAATATTGTTCTACTCTCCAAATAGTCTGAAATAAAAATAGGAAATTACGTGAATAAATTCAAATCACATTCCTGTTATTACTAGGTCTTGTGACTGACTCTCTTCTCTATATAAATGGCCATACACCTCCTTCCAGTTTCAATCTGCAAACAAATAAAATTCTCTTCTTTGTGTTTTCGATTTTGAAGTGTTGGCTATGGCGGTTCTAAATGTTTGTAATTTTGTCTCTCTGATAACAGAGAGTAAGAAGAAGGGAATGGCCGCTAGGCCAAAGACTAAGATAGTGTGCACGTTGGGGCCGGCCTCCAGATCGGTGGAGATGATAGAGAAGCTGTTGAAGGCTGGAATGAATGTGGCTCGATTCAACTTCTCACATGGCTCTCACTCCTACCATTTAGAGACTCTCAATAACCTCCGTATTGCCATGAATAACACTGGCATACTCTGTGCTGTCATGTTGGACACCAAGGTTTGTTTGCTTTCTCTCACCTCTTCTCTTTTTTACTTTTCTTTGTTACTTTCAATTCAATGTACGTATGTATTAATCTATTTTCTCTTTGTTTTTGCATGTTCTTGTTCACGGCCTCTCTCTGTTATGCATGTTCTTGTTCACGGCCTCTCTGTTCCATTAAACTTCTTCATCTTTTATTTTTTTATTTTATAAGTATTGTTATTATAATTAGATTCTTATATCTACAATAACAAAATAATTATAATAATATTGTTATATGGGTTTTTCTGATGAGCGTAGTATACTTATCAATCTTTATTTCTTTTATTTTATATTTTTTCAAAAAATCAATCAATTTCCTTAAAGGTTCTGGGTTATCTAGTAAGGAAAAATTCCTTTTTTAGTATTGTAATTAAATTCATAAATTTTGATACACAATTAAAATATTGTGTTAAGATTATTTATACATAATGTTGACCTCTTGTTTTTTAAGTTCCAAAAAAGTTTAATTGTTGTCGTCCCAGATTTCAAATCCTCTTTTTATGACTAACCTTACCTTTTATGGGAATTTTTTTTAAGCATTCTTGTTATAATGGCCTCTCTGTTTCTTTTTTTTATTATTAATTTATAAGCATTATTATTATTATTGTTATAATTAGCATCATATATCTAAAAAAAAAACAATTTTCTTAGGGTTCCTGAAGAGCAGAGGCTTACGAATCTTAATTGTAAAATAAAAAATCAAATTTCTTAAATCGTTACGTGGGTTTTTTTCCCTCTGATAAGCAGAGACTTATCAATCTTAATTATTAAATCAATTTCCTTAGCTGTGTGGTTTTTTCTGATGAGCTCAAAATCAATTTCCTTAAATGGTTGTGTGTGTGGTGTTTCTGATGAGCATAGAGACTTGTCAGAAAAAAAATATATCTTTTTTTTTTCAATCAATATCCTAAAAACCGATGAGCAGAGACTTATCAATATTAATTAAAATAAATAAAAAATTTGCGTTAAAGATTGATTGTACATAATTATTATTATTATTATTTTTGGGTTTTGTTTACGTTGACATGAAGACTAACCTTACTTGGGGAAATTTTTTTAAGCATTGTTGAATTAAGAACAAGGTTTGATATTTTACAGGGTCCGGAGATTCGAACGGGATTTCTGAAGGATGGAAAGCCCATTCAACTGAGGCAGGGTGAAGAAATCACAATCTCCACAGATTACAGCATAAAGGGTGATGATAAGCTCATATGTATGAGCTACAAGAAGCTGGCTGAGGATTTGAAGCCACAGAGTGTGATTTTGTGTTCTGATGGGACTATTTCACTCACAGTTCTCTCTTGTGATAAGGAATTGGGCTTGGTACGGTGTCGTTGTGACAACTCTGCATTGCTTGGTGAGAGAAAGAATGTCAATCTTCCCGGAGTTATTGTGGATCTCCCAACCTTGACTGAGAAAGATAAAGAAGATATTTTGAACTGGGGAATACCTAATAAGATTGATATTATTGCTTTGTCCTTTGTTCGCAAAGGTTCAGACCTTGTGGAGGCTCGAAAGTTACTGGGAGATCATGCCAAGACTATCATCCTCATGTCAAAGGTATACATGTGCACATATATATATATATATATATATATATCTCTTTTGATTTAAGACTTTTTGGATCTTCTAACTAACCTTGTTCAACTTTGATGTCATTTTTGTAGGTTGAAAATCAAGAAGGGGTGTCTAATTTTGACGAAATTCTTGCAAACTCGGATGCTTTTATGGTGGCACGAGGTGATTTGGGAATGGAGATTCCGATTGAGAAGATATTTCTAGCGCAGAAAGTGATGATAAACAAGTGCAACATTCAAGGAAAACCCGTGGTGACTGCGACACAGATGTTGGAGTCCATGATCACTTCTCCAAGGCCTACTCGAGCTGAAGCCACGGATGTTGCCAATGCCGTTCTTGATGGTACAGACTGTGTGATGCTCAGTGGTGAAACAGCTGCCGGTGCCTACCCTGAAATCGCTGTTCAGACCATGGCGAAGATTTGCATTGAAGCAGAGGATTCATTGGATTATAAGGATGTTTTCAAGAAGATTGTGGCAGCTGCCCCAGTGCCCATGAGCCCATTAGAGACACTGGCTTCTGCAGCAGTGCAGACGGCAAATACCTCTCAAGCAGCTCTTATTTTGGTCCTAACCAAAGGTGGAACCACGGCAAAGCTGGTGTCTAAATACAGACCAAGTAGGCCAATTATTTCATTAGTGATGTCTGAAGATTCGTGTGATGAAGCTCCTGCAAAACACAGCCTTATTTTTCGAGGCATTAAGTCTATTTTGAGCAGACATTTGCAATCCGAAGAACAAGCTTTGGATTTTGCCATTCAATATGCAAAGGCTGAACAGCTTTGCAAATCAGGAGACTCAATTGTAGCGCTG